GGGGAGGGGCAGGGTAGAAAGTAGAAGCGACGGCTTGGAAGGAGCGGAAGAGTCAAGTGGGAGCGGTGCGAGACGGATGGACGATGTGCGAGAACGGTGGGAGAACTTGGGGAGAACGTGAGATGGTCGGGACGATGTGGTGGGAAGAAGTAGCAAGGGTGGGAATTAAGGGAGAAGTAATTGGGCTGGTAATGGGACAGCAAATGTTGAAGAGAAGGGATTCGGAATGCGGTGGAACGGGAGAAGCCTGGGAAGGCGAGGTGCGAAAAGGCTAGGCAGGAAGGCCTCAATCAGAAGGAGTGCCATTTATGTATTTATTTATTTTTGATTTTGCGACCCCAAGTACTCGAGTAATTGGTCCGAAGCGATCACAGAAATAAGGTGGTATTATATTCATCGTACTTTTTATCAAAAATTAACTAATTAATCATTAATGTGATGTGGTTTTATATACATTTCTGCTACTCTAAGTATTTCAATTCTGATCATTCTGATTAAATATTCTTGAATTATTATTGAATTGATATATTGAATGCAAACCAAACATGTTAAAACTGTGCATTTACTTTCAGCAATAGGCGTTTCGCGCATCTCTGTTTCTACCTCGGTTTCTACAATTCTCCTTTTATACCTTCTTTTGAGGTTTATTATCCCTACTTTATCCTTGACCTTTAGGCTACAATGATGTTTACTATGTTCAGTTCATTTTGACTTAACAACTTTTTTTTTATATTTTCAGGTTACTCATCATGTCAGTCATTGATGTCAACTTTAGAACTTTAACTTCAATTATCCGCTTCCATTGTGGTAAGTTTTATTTTTATTACATTGTAACGTTTTATCATCAAAACACATTGCGTTATAACACGGAATAGTATTGTAACTATACAATTGTGTGTGTGGTACACTTTGTTATTCGTGCTTTTTTTAAACAATGTGAGGTAGCCAATAATGATGACTTTAATAAGTTGTCAAATACAAAGCATTTTCGTCGGATTTTAAGAGAAGCTTTTCATCGACGAAAAATCCTACAGGAGCGTATGCTTTTTCTCCACTTTACGCTTGCCGATGATTTACAACAAAACTACTATGGTTTTGAGAGCAGGGATTCAAACACTTTGACAATTTTTCCCAAATATTAGGAAACACCAGCTTTTTTCACACAGAACCCATGATCGACTACTTTCAAAATTCATCATCCGTCGGATCGTTATCGATAGGCGGAATGAAGGCGCAATGCTTACAATTTTAAATTTTGTCGAGTATTTTAACTATGGTAAAATGCACGAGAAAAGTACTTATGACAAAAGTACTTTACGTTTATTATAGGACAATGATGGGAGATTATTATTATTATTATTATTATTATTATTATTATTATTTGTGTTTGAAAGGCGATCATCTCATATCGTTGTGCAATAAGCAGACTTAGCATCAGAAAATTAGCATTAGAAAACGTAAATAAACATAATATACGTTACTTGAATTAATTAAATTAATCAATTGAACAAGTATTTCAAAGCATAATCTCGGAATCGCCATTGTCCCCACCATTCCGCCGCAACGGACCCACTGCCTGTTTGTTCCAACCACACGTCGCTGCTGGGCCCACTGCGTCCGCCTGCCTGCGCGCCGCGTGCCCAAGTGGGCATTAGCATAATTCTTTATTTGAGCCGGCGAGCGCGGCGCGTTGTCGGGCTCCAGCGTCGGAGCCCAGGATAAATATAAAGAATGAAACGCCTAAATTATGCAGGAAATGGATAAAGGAGTGAAATGAAGGGGGACAAAATTATAAAAATTATAAAAACCGGGAGAGGGTAGGAGGAAGGGCCGCAGGAGGTGCGGGGACTGACAAATGAAGGCCCGCGCGGCGCACTCGCATTAGAGAGGAAGAGGGTGGGCGGCAGAGAGAGAGAGAGGAAAGAGAGAGAAAGAGAGACTGATGGCGGTGGCCGCACGGTTGCCGATGAACAAAGAACGAACAGATTACTCGCCATCGTTATGCAAGGAAACTGTGATGCGGGAGTCGGAAAAAGAAGAGAAGTTTCTGATCTGAAGGGGGCCAGCATAAATAAGCTACACTAAATCTAGCACTCGAGGGCATGGCTCAACGAGCCTATCTCGCACTGGTTGTAAATCTGTCGCGATCCAATCCGAGAACAATCGCGCAAAGGCAATCCGAAAACAATGGCAGATTTGAGATTAAACTAATGTGAAGTCGAGGGAACAAGTATAAATCATTTCAAAGTCAAGAAAATCACTCAAATATCATCCGGTGTTTCTAGAAACGGTTTAGCGTCTGTAAATACTTTCCAATCCCGTATTCTAGCAGCCGCAACTTGAATCTTCTGCCTTCTGCTCTAACGTACAAAAACTGGCAAAAGTCCTCGAGCCATTTCTCTCTACCCTTTCCGTAACACTGCTACGAAAAGCAAATGTGAAATGCTAGTAATATTTTGCTGGCGAGATCTTTCCGGCAACAAATTGCCCTGTTTTGCCCTCACTAGTGTAAAAGGGTTTACAAGAAGTAGAAACAAATTGCCAAAAGATATTGCGAAACGTATTGTTGGTGTGCAGCCAGATTAACAGCTACTTCGACCTTTTATCGCTGCCAAATCTCCTTCTATTTCGATTTTCACCTCCCGATTCTATTATCCACTCTCTATTTTCCCACATACTTGTATTTGTACTTTTATTTTTTCTAATAGTTTTCTGATTTGACCATTCCACTCCGATCTTCACCTTTATCGCGGCTCTACCTTACCTTGGCTCTATCGCGATTCCAATGATTTTCAAAGGAGCCACTTTCCCGGACATATTCAGCTCTCTTGATTCAAATATTTCTCTGCGACCTGTGTTGCAAATTTATGGTTTAGTTCATGTGTAATCAGCCGAGAGAAACCGTTTCATCCTAAGTTCATTGGCTTTCACAGAGCACAATCACTACAGCAACAATGTGAAACGAAATATGAAATTCACTCGCATTGGTGATTTCGACCCAATCCAATGACATTCATCTTCACCAGAATCTACTTCTCTGTAAACTTCCGTAACCTTACTTGCTGATTCAACTCTTAAGACCATTTATATTTTTGTGACTTCGGTTAATCACACGACTCCATTGCGAAACAATTTTTTTAGACTCGGAGAGAAGACATGCAATCACTGATAGAGCCAAACGTGGGGAGAGAAGAAGGTAAGCCGTAAGCCGAAAAAACCCATAGCACAATCCACCGAGACAGAAAGAGAGAGAGAGAGAGAGAGAGAGAGAGAGAGAGAGAGAGAAATAGAGAGAGAAAATAAGAGGCACAGACCGAGAGTGACACTGGAGAGGTGTCTGTGAGAGGGACAATCCTAGAGAGAAACAGGCCGAGAAAAGAGCAAACCGAGATGGAAATAGTGAGGTTGACATTTAGGGAAAGAATTTGGCAACAAGAGAGGGATATAAAGAGAGGGATATAAAGAGAGAGAGAGAGAGAGAGAGAGAGAGAGAGAGAGAGAGAGAGAGAGAGAGAGAGAGAGAGCTTCTTCTGCCTCCACCCGAATAGGTCAGGGAGTTTTCTACATTTCTCGAAATAGAGATAGTTATTGTGTGACATTAGTGTTTATCGTCAACGTGCCAGTTTAAAATGCCAGATAGCCTTCTTTCAAAGCTATCCATTAGCGCATCGAACTGTACCGTGCTGAGAAGGGCCTCGCGCAAAAGAAGTCGCGAAGCGTGGGAGGAGCGCCGGCGCTGGTGGCAACGACGACGGCGGCGGCGTCTGAATCCGACGAAGGCCGGAGCGGGATGATTGTGTCTGGAAATCTCGCTGTAATTGCGTTTGGCGAGGTAACGAGAAAGGTACGTGGCTGATTGGGTCGAAGTCTTCTTCTTGCGCCAGATTACTTCCAGTTCATTCCAATTATATTTAACTCTGTTCGATTTTGAATTAAATTTGAAAGAATCCAGATATATTTTATTTCGTTATTTGTGCCATCTCTCTCACATCAGTCTAAGTTCGGTGGGTATTTGATAGAATATAAATTGAAATTTTATTGATTTAGTTGCCCCTTGTTAAACGTTAACTCTGACATTCGGAAATATCGTAATTTCTCCTACAAATAGGCCCAAATACAAACATCCCCGTTAGTTAAATTACTCTATTGAAGGTAGTGGGTGATAATCATGTTTGTGATTATAAATTTTTGTTCGTATTGTCTAGACATGTTTCTTTGAATCGCGATTATTCAACGAGAATGAATTCTGTGTAATAATTCGAATCTGTGTAATGTTATGATTTGTTCATCGTTACATTGAATAATGTTTTGTATCATTCTTTCTTCATTAGTTAGATTTTTTAGAATTTTTCTACGGTAATTTAATGTTTTTGTATCAGTCAGAATTATTAATTATTATTATTATTATTATTATTATTATTATTATATATTATTATTATTGTTATTGTTATTCTTCCACTAATTACTATGATTATTTTTTACAATTATTATTTTATTATAATTATTATTTTATATTATTTTGATGTTATTATTATTATTATTTGCATGTTATATTATCTGTATTTATGTAATTAGCTACCCCTGGGTATACTAATTGTGTTTGAATCGCTCACATCTCATCACAATTCCCCTCCCTCGATTCCGCTTCCCCTTTTCTTGCTCATTAAAAACACTTCTTTCCTCACGCTGAGTTCATTCATTCTATGTGTTAGTCCATTCATGAATCATTTCTAAATGTATCTTCCTTCGTAGGGATCATATTGCCCCTCGCCCATATTTATACGCAGCTTTGAACGCTGACTTTGATTTGCACTTTCCTCACGCGAAGCTTTGCACAACTTCCTCACACCAAAGTTTGTTCACCTTCCCAGTTTCTGCAATCCCCCTTAGATTTTTTATTCTGCCCTGCAGTCGCTCCTTTCTCGCAATCAATCTGCATACGCTCCTTCTCTCCAAGACAGTTCCTCTTCGGTTCTATCCCTCCATAAAACGTCATTCGTTTCTGCTCATTTATCATTGGCGCTATCTGTCTGTACTCCTTATTGTCTCACTCTGCTTGAGTAGATATAATGATTGTGAAGAGCGATCATCTGGTGGCCGACGACGATATGATAATGTGTGGTTAGGATGATTGAATGCTCATGCACTGGCATTGCAACACGTTGCGCGATGCTGATTGATGGACTACGGAGGCGGAGGAAAAGACGGACTCACGAGTAAGGTGTGGAGATGGGCTAGTAAGGTATAAGGATGATAAGATGTGACGATGCGGGGCAGACAGATGCGATTATTTAGTCAATGCAGAGTGAGTGATGAATCACGAGACGATAGCGCAAGATATGTGTAATAATCTGGAAGAGTTGAATAGTAGACGTTATGGAGGCGTCGAAGCATAGATTGGGAAGAGGGGACCGTGGTTCACTGTCTGGGAGTGATGCAAGTGGGAGGTAGGCAGATAGTGAGTTTGGAGAAATGGTATGCGGGACTCAGGCGAGCGAAATACGAAAAATCTTGAAGGGGATGTTCTAGGGTAGAGGTGGTGGAGGTGAACAGAGACTTTGGTGAGGAAGTGGCAAAGGCTTCGGGTGAGAAGTAGTGCATAACAGTCAGGTTCAAAGTGGTATAAATATGTGGCGAGGGGCAAGTATGGGAGTCACGAAGGAAGATAATTAGAATGAGTCATGAATGGGACTAAACGATAGACTGAATGAAGTCAGCGGAGGAAAGAGTGTTTTTAGAATGAGCAATGAAAGGTGGAAAGGCGAATCTGAGGAGGGGAATGTTGTGAATAAAGGCTTACATTCAACTACAATTAGGTATAACAGGGGGTAGCTAATTAATAAATCAGATATATAACATGCAAATAATTCGATAACTATAACATGCCAAAATAAAATAATAATGAGATAATAATAATAATAATAATGGTAAAAAATAACTATGTTAGTTGTGGTATGAAATATAGATATGTGATAATACTAAATAGTAGTAATAATATAATAATAATACTAAGTAAGGAGACGCTAAATAAATAGAAGAATTATTCTGTGTGGTCTAGCTCACTGAGATGTGAGTGGTCTAGAGGTGGTGGATTGCGAAGATGGACGATTTGAGGTGATTAGTGAAGACATTAGACGAGTTAAAAGGGAAATTATAAGTATATTTGTACAGTGAGGATGAACGAAATCATGACACGTTCAGGTCGATGGATGTTATAGGAGATAGTATAGGGATGAATTAGATGAATAAAGTACGAGTAAGTAGCACTCTCAGATGGAATATCGCATGTTCAGTGTGTTACTGTATCAGTAATCGTAAAACATGATTATGCATGATTGCTCGTAGGAGAGGGTTATGAATTTATGAGAGATGGATGTGTCTATTTGGTAAGAGGTAGTAATCTCACACTCGCTACACTGGTAATAAGTTAGATGATGTATATAGGTTGTCTTAGTGTAGAATTTCTGCGAAGTTTAAGATATATGTTAGATCACACTCATAGTATCTGTGTTTCTTTTCAATTTAATTCAAATAGAACGAGTAAATATAATTGGAAATGAACTGGAAGTAATTCTGCGCAGAGAAGAAGATTCGAACCATCAGCACGTAGGATTAGAGTGGACGCTGAGTAAAGCTGATCACTCGAATACGGAGTGGGATTGGCCACGGCGCTGGGAGGATGGAGGGCGGATAGGAGGGCGTCCGTCCGTGCAGCGTCGCGGGCGTGCGAGAGGTGGCGGGGCGGGGCGGGCCGGGGCGGGGCGGGGCGGGGTCGGGGCGAGACGGTGGTGGGCGATGACGGTGGGGGGCGGGGTGGGGTGGGCGGGCTGGATGCAGGGGAATTTTTTTTAGGAGGCGGCGCGGGAAGTGGGGCGGCGCGAGTCCCCGGCGAAAGGGAGGCGGAAATGAAGTTCCCTTTCTCGTTACCTCGCCAAACGAATTACAGCGGAGATTTCAGACAATCATCCGCTCCGGATCGTCGGATTCGACGCGTCGCCGCGCCGCCGTCGTTGCACCAGGCCGGCGCTCTCCTCACGCTTCGCGACTTCTTTTGCGCGAGGCGCCTCTCAGCAGGCACAGTTCGATGGCTAATGGATTATATTTGAAAGGAGGCTAAGTGGCATTTAAGTGCACGTTGACAATAAACACTAATGGAGCCAATAACTATCTCTAGTTCGAGAAACGTAGAAAACTCCCTGACCTATTCGGTGCAAATCCTCTTGTTGCCATTCTCACCCTAAATGTAGCTCACACATTCATCTCGGTTTGCTATTTTCCCGGCTGCTTGCTCATAGGATTGTCTCCTCAGACAGTGTCTTTCCTCGTTCTGTGCTCTACTTTCTCTCTTCTCTCTCTTCTTCTCTCTCTCTCATCTCTCTCTTCTCTCTCTCTCTCTCTCTTTCTCTCGGTGGATGTGCAATGGATTTTTCGGCTTAACTGGCTTACCGCTTCCTCTCTCATGTTGGCTCTATCAGTGATTGCAGTCTTCTCTCCGAGTCTAAAAAATTGTTTCGCAATGAGTCGTGTGATTAAGGGAGTCACAAAATTAAAATGGTCTTAAGAGTTGAATCAGCAGTAAGGTTAGAAGTTTAAGAGAATTTGTAGTTTCTGGGTGAAGATGAAATGATTGGATTGGGTGAAATCACTATGCGAGTGAATTTCCATATTCGTTTCAGCATTGTTGCCTGGTAGTGATTGCGCTCTGTTGAAAGCCAATGAAACTTAGGATGAAACGGTTTTCTTTGGTTGTAACTGATTAACAGCATGAACTAAACGCATAAATTTGAACACAGAGAAATATTTGAATGCAAGAGAGCTGAATGAATGTCTGGAAAGGTGGCTTCCTTTGAAAATCATTTGGAATGCGATAGAGCAAAAGACGGAACAATAAAGGTGAAGATCGAGTGGAATGGCCCAAAAAGAAAATATTAGAAAGATAGAAAACAAATACAAGTATGTGGCGAAAATAGAGAGTGGATAATAGAATCGGAGGTGAAAATCGAAATAGACGGAGATTTGGCAAGCGATAAAAGTCGAAGTAGGTGTTAGTCTGGCTGCAACAACAATACGTTTCGGAATATCTTTTTGCAAATTTGTTCTATTCTTGTAAACCCTTTACACTAGTGAGGGCAACGGGCAATTTTGTTGCGGAAAGATCTGGCAGACACAATATTATAGCATTTCACATTTGTTTTCGTAAGCAGTGTACGGAAAGGGTCGAGAGAAATGCTCGAGGACTTTGGCCAGATTTTTGTCCGGTTAGAAGCAGAAGGCAGAAATTCCAGTTGCGGCTGCTAGAATACGGGATTGGAAAGTATTTACAGACGCTAACCGTTTCTAGAAACACCGGAATGAATTTGAGTGATTTTCTTGACTTTGAAATATTTATACTTGTTACTCGACTTCACTTAGTTTAATCTCAAAACTGCCATTGTTTCGATTGCCATTGCGCGATGTTCTCGATTGGATCGCGACAGATTTACACAGTGGAGGTAGGCTCGCTGAGCATGCCTCGGTGCTAGATTTAGTGTAGCTTATTGTGGCCCTTACAGGATCAGAAACTTGCTCTTCTTTTTCCGACTCCCGCATCACAGTTCTCCTTGCATAACGATGGTTAGTGATCTGTTCGTTTCTTTTGTTCATGGCAACCAGTGCGCCACCGCCATCAACAGTCTTCTTTCCTCTCTCTTTCCTCTCTCTTTCCTCTCTCTCTCCTCTCTCTCTTCTCTCTTCTCTCTCTCTCTCTCTCTCTCTCCTCTCTCTCTCTCTCGCGCGCGCGCGCGCTCGCTCGCTCTGCGCACCCTCTTCCTTCTAATGCGAGTGCGCCGCGCGGGCATTTCTTCATTTGTCAGATCCCGCACCTCCTGCGACTTCCTCCTACGCTCTCCGTTTTTATAATTTTATAATTTTGTCCCCATTCATTTGCACTCTTTATCCATTATCTGCATATTTAGGCGTTTCATTCTTTATATTTATCTGGGCTCCGGCTGGAGCCCGACAACGCGCCGCGCTGCGCCAGTGCAAAATAAAGAATTATGCTAATGCCACTTGGGCACGCCGGCTGGCAGACGGACGCAGTGGGCCGCAGCGACGTGTGTTGGAACAAACAGATGGGTAGTTGCGGAGGAATGGTGGAGACAAATGGCGATTCGAGATTATGCTTGAAATACTTGTTCATTGTATAATTCATTAATCAACTAACGTTATATTATGTTTATTTAAGTTTCTGATGCTAATGTTTCTGATGCTAAGTCTGCTTATTGCACAACGATATGAGGATGATCGCTTTTCAAAACAAACAATAATAATAATATAATAATTAATTAATAATACTCCCATCATTGTCTATAATAAAGTAAAGTAGCTTTGTCATAAAGTATTTTCCTCGTGCATTTTACCATAGTTAAAAATACTCGACAAAATTTAAAATGTAAGCATTGCGCTTCATTCGCCTATCGATAACGATCGAACGATGATGAATTTTGAAAGTAGTCGATCAGGGTTTGTGTGAAAAAAGCTGGTGTTTCCTAATATTGGGAAAAATTGTCAGTGTTTGTCCTGCCTAAAACCATAGTAGTTTTGTTGTAAATCATTCGGAGCGTAAAGTGGACAAAAAGCATACGCTCCTGTAGGATTTTTCGTCGATGAAAAGCTTCTCTTAAAATCGACAAAATGTTTGTATTTGACAACTTAATAAAGTCATCATATGGCTACTCACATTGTTTAAAAAAAGCACGAATAAAAAGTGTACCAACACCAATTGGTATAGGTTTACAATACTATTCCGTGTTAATAAGCAATGTGTTTTGATGATAAAACGTTACAATGTAATAAAATAAAATACACATGAAGCGATGAATTGAAGTTAAAGTTCTAAGTTGACATCCATGACTGACATGATGAGTAACCTGAAAATATAAACAAAAAGTTTGTTAAGTCAAAATGAACTGAACATAGTAAATCATCATTGTAGCCTAAAGGTCAAGGATAAAGTAGGGATAATAAGTCAAAAAGAAGGTATAGAAAGGAGAAGTTGTAGAAACCGAGGTAGAAACAGGAGATGCCGCGAACGCTATTGCTGAAAGTAAATTCACAGTTTTAAAATGTTTGTTTTGGGGCATTCAATATATCAATTCATAATAATTCAAAGATATTTAATCAGAATGATCAGATTGAAATACTTAGAGTAGGCAGAACAATGTATTAAAACACATCAATTAATGATTAATTTAGTTAAATTTTTGTAAAGAAGTACGATGAATATCATACCACCTTAGTTTCTGGTGATCTCTTCGGACAATTACTCGAGTAGCTTGGGGTGGCAAAATCAAAAAATAAATAAATACATAAATGGCACTCCTTCTGTTTGAGGCTTCTGCTGCTTTTCGCACTCGCTTCCAGGCTTCTCCGTTCCCAACGCGCTTCGAATCCCTTCTCTTCAACATTTGCTGTGCATTACAGAGCTCAATTACTTTCCTTAATTCCCACCCTTGTCTACTTCTTCGCACCCATTCGTCGACCATCTCACGTTCTCCCAAGTTCTCCCCGTTCTCGCACATCGTCCCATCCGTCTCGCACGCTTCCGACTTGATCTTCCGCTCCTTCAGAGCGCCTCGCTTCTACTTTCTACGCCGCCCTCCCCGCGGTTGCCGCGGCCACCACACTTCACACAGTTGATCCCACTTCGCTCCCCGTGCCTGCCAACAGCCTTGCGCAACACCCGCTCCTACCACGTCACGCCTCGCTGCTCGCCCCTCGCTTTCCTTGCTTGCTCCATCGCTCCCACGCCTAGTCCGCTCTGCCGCCCCCGCCCTGCCTGCCCGCACGTCCCGCCCCGCATCGCCCCGCCCAGCTCGCCCCCAGCCCCCCGCCCAGCCCCGCGCCAGCCATTTTCCGCCCAGCCCAGCTCGCCCTGGCCTAGCCAGCCCAGCCAGCCAGCCAGCCAGCCCAGCCCAGCCCGCCAGGTCCAGCCCGCCAGTTCCAGCCCCGCCCAGTCCAGCCCCGCAGTCCAGCTCCCGCCAGTCAGCCCGCCCAGTCTCCAGCCCGCCAGTCCAGCCCCGCCCGTCCAGCCCGCCAGTCCAGCCCGGCCCGCCGCAGAAGAGAGCTGGCCGCGCCCGATTTCAATATGCTAAGCAGCGGGGCAGCGCGGTGAGGCGGCTGAGCCCAACCAACCGAAAAGCGGCTTTGTGCGCAAGTAATAGATGCGCCGAGCCCTCGCCAGCATTGCAGGCGCCGGGCGCGCGCTCGCAGCGCTTCCGCTTCTGGGAAGCTGCAGCTGGCTTCGATGTCATTTCATTATCGAAAAATAAAGCGCACTCAGCGTTCCATTTCGTTTAAATAATAAGCAAGTAATAAGGCCCATATCCGTAACGCACACAACAAGCGAACTAAGCGCATTCATCCGTTACTTTAAAGAATTAGCAGGAAGCGAAATGTTCTTTTTTCGAATTGGTAATTTTTGCAGGAAGCGAACCAGAAATAAAAAAGAGGGATAGAATGGAATACAAGTGAGATGATTTCCTACTACTGTGAATTGTTTTATTTTTTTCGAATTCATTCTCATTGTTTATAGTTTTTGTAGTTCATTATTTCCTTCTTCCGGTTTTTTTGTTCATTTTTATTTACAGGTTCTAATTATCGTCCTGTTGTATTTTAAAATTTCTATTTGTAGTGCACTTGCGTGCTTCAATATCTGTTGTTTTCTACACTTTCCTAGACAGGGTATTATTATCTGGTCGTACACTAAATGGGCTTTTCTCCTTTCCAACATCACCATAGTTTTAGGGCTACAAGTTATTTTTTCATATACATAAAATAATAAAATCGAAACATCTGGTAAGAATTCATCTTCTCATTTCAATTTTTTCTCCTAAAAACACAACTAAACAATACAATAGAATCGATAAAGCAGACCACTTTGCTTTCCATTGATTTCCTTCCAGAACGTCTTAATTCCAGTAATAAATGCAATATAGCAGATTAGGCTATGAGGGTGCAAATAAGATAATATTTACATGTTCAACATAGTATTCTTTCTGAAATTATCTTTTTTATATAACCTAAAAAAACGACTTTTAACCAGGCCTTCAAGGATAGCTTTGTCGCAAAGCCGTAGTAAGGATGTAAATGTACTCGTAATCTAACTCCAAATCTCCATTCCTAAAGCTACAAAAAAAGAATAAATTTTATGATGTCACAGCTAATATTGAAGCTTCGCACATTCTTCCGTCGAAACTTTTCTTTCTTCTTTGTGTACACAAAGAGAGGAAATGCGCTCGGAGACTGTGTAAGTATTATTACCTCTTGTCGCGTTATTCGCGGTCGAGGTTTGGCACGTCGCACCCAACAATAGAATTTTCAATTTCCTTGCGGATGGTGGAAAGCTCGTTCAAAGAGTTTGAGGAATATGGTTGGAGTTTGACGTCGACAGGATACTTCTCAAGGTAAAGATCTACAAGTAAATTTCAAGTAAGTTACATTCTTAACTTCGTCTCCCGCAAACAGTCTATGGCTCGAGCGGCGTTGTTACTTCCCGCGCACGTCGACGCGCCAATAGCAGCGGTGTAAGATACACTTGGCATAAAACTTTCAAATTATGCGTTATTAATAAAACATATTAAAGGAGATTTTTGAAGCACTATTTGTAGGAGATATTTTCGATGAAATATTCAGCTTTTGTGTGCATTTTTTGTTTGTTTCGTTCCGTACGAAAGTAAAAAATGAATTAATTTAGTTTGTGCACTTTATAGCTTCATAAATAGCTTTTTATATTGTGGGAACATTTGCAAAACGATGGCTAAATGATAATAAATAATATATGACAGAAGTTATTTGAATAATTGATTATATATCCATTTCATCTGGCCTGATATTTGTTTCGCATAGAACGTTAAGTTAAAAGTAAGGCGACTGTTCGCATGTGAGGTGTCTTGCGTATTCTCAGTTAGTAAATTCGACTTACAATGCTATGAAATTAATGACTTGGCAGAGACTGATTGTGGTTGTGTTGTGCGATTGATTCTTGTGCTTGGTGAGCGATCTTTTTTTGTTTATATTTAGCTCATCTTTGTTTAATAGGCTTACGCTGCATATCTGTTAGTGTCGGTTTTTCTACGATTAGTCTCTTTATTAGACGTGTGCCTTCTTTCTTGTTTTATGTAAATTGCAAATGACGAAATCTTTGGCCCGAACTCGAAAATGTGTAGGCAAAGTCAACGTGAAGGTATTTACGGCAGGTTCACCACTGTTACTCAAGTTCCTATTTATGTTTCTAAGTTGCTCTTTCGAATTTTAAGGTGACTTAGAGGCATTTTTCTTTTTCACCATCACGCTTTAAAGGCGAACTTGAACTTTAAGTAAATTTAAGCAATACCTTCAAATGCACTTCACCATTTTAACAAGCATTACGACTCATAATCGGTTCCAAATGGGGGCGCGTATGGTGGAGTGTTGTTTTTGATAGGATGCTATGTCATTGTGAAGACGAGAGCTTTCAGAGTCATCTCGTAGGCAGGTTGGGTACGGGAACCGTCCAATTTCGAAAGAGCTCGTGAAAGGGATTTTCGCATACGATTTTGCCTTCAAAAATGACAACACTACATGTCTTAGGATGGTTATTCGTGGTATTTTCTCTAGAATATAGATTGGAATATCAAGTTGACTTCGTAGTTAAATTATTAATGAAATTATATTTGTTTTCAATAATTGGGTCTAATGCCTTGCAAGTAACATTTTGCCTAACAACTAGTGTTTTGTATGTAATATTATATGATCAGAGGTCAAAATTATTTCTTCTTTTGAATAATTATAGCACTTTCTGATATAGATTTCATGCATATATTTTTTCATAGAATAATACATGAACAACTATTTCACACCGAGGTCATTTAGAAGCTATACATTTACTTTACACTCGTTTTCGTTCACATCTAAGTAACATTAGCGGTTGAGCAGATGTTAGAGAGAGTTCGACAATTTTGGGCTTGAGTGTTGGACAGCAGTAAGCAAATACCATCCTAATAGATTTTTGCAAATCGTTGGAATCGGAGCATAAGAAACGAATTGGGGAGAAGTGGAACCGATCAACGAGGTCAGAGAGAAGATACTGGACGGAAGGAAAGTGAAGAAAACAATAGAAACAATGAGAACTGGGAGAATCTGGAAAGTAAGACAGTAGGGAAAGTTGTTCAAATGGAATGCAGACGAATCTTGTAGACTGTAAAATGAGGCCCCCGAACCGTTGTACTAAGGAGATTTAAGATGTACGTTTATGACATCCATTTAAGATTGAAAATTAGGAAGATAATCAATGATTACTTGTGAGGGGGCTGGCTTTAGAAGATGCAGGCAGTGGGAAGTAGAATTGGCCCTGTAAGAGAATGCGGTTTGGGGCAGCGGATGTAGAAGCGATGATGAATTTGAAGTCGTGTGGTATTTTATATAGAGTCTTGCGCACATTGATGTGATGAGATGTGTGGTAGATATCAGTAGATATGTGTGATCTGAGTAGATGGAGTGAGAGAGGAGAAGATAAGGTACACGGATACTAGGAAAGCAGATTAAAGACGATGCATAATAGTCGTTGATTTATGAATAATCAATGACAATGCAAGAGTATGAACTGAGGCAGGTCACTTCTTTTTAATACTATGTGGATTCGTATGCTGGAAAGAGACGAAATAGATTATTATTTCACAAGAACAATCCAGTTACTAGGAGCTGTACCTTGAAGATGTTGGCACTTTTCTGTTTTGTTCCCAATAAATTTCGTGACACCTTTAGTATTCAGTTTTCGCGATAAATGATTCATATATATTAACCATATTTGTTACACTAAAAAATAAAATTATAAAACTTTTGTATTGTCACTTTTTTTTACTATCGTACCTAAGTTGAGCATTCTTGCTTTTCTTCGTCTCATAAACTAAGATGTAAGTTGTCTTAAATACATTATATATAACTCCTCAAAAATCAAGAAACATTACCTTCCTACAGGATGCGTGATGAGTTTGGCGCGACTTTCACTTGTCGAAAGTGAATAGGTGAGGAAGTGGGTGGCGGCAAGGCAGAGGAGGGCTGGACGAGCAGGAGATCGGAGCAGGAGTCAGAGGCACGGGACGAACATGCGAAGATAAGAGAGTGCGAGAGCTCGTTGCGGGGCAGGGCTTGCAGAGCGGGGCAGAGCGAGCAGGGGAGTGGGGTGGAGCGTGGCGATGTGGGGGCGGTGTGGGGGTGGAGCTGGCGGGGCGGCGAGGAGTAGGCGAGGCGTAGGGGGTGGGTGGGCGGAGCGGTGGCGAGCTGGTGGGACGTTAACGAGCGCGCGGGCGGCAACCGGGCGGCCAACCGGGGCGGGCAACCGGGGGCAACCGGGGCAACCGGCGGGGCAAGGGGCGGGAACCGGGGCGGGCAACGGGCGGGAACCGGGGGCAACCTGGCGGGCGGGAACGGGTGCAACGGGCGGGCCAACGGGGGCAAGCAGGGGCGGCAACCGCGGCGGGCACGGCGGGCACCGGGGGGCACCGGGCGGCGCATACCGGGCGGGAACGGCGGGCAACCGGGGCAACCGGGCGGTGCAACGGGCGGGCAACCGGGCGGGCAACCGGGCGGGCAACGGCGGGCAAACCGGGCTGGCAACCGGGCGGCAACCGGGCGGGAATCCGGCGGGCAACCGGGGGTGCAACCGGGCGGGCAACCGGCGGGCAACCGGGCGGGCAACCGGCGGGCAACCGGCGGGCAACCGGCGGGCAACGAGCGGGCGGCGGCGGGCGGGCGGGCGGGAAGGGTTTTAAAGATAGGCGGGAAGGATGGGTGAGTCAGGAGGGGGAGGGGCGGGGAGGCCGGCTTAGGAGGAGTGGGGTGAGGTCGGTGTCAAAGCATGGTGGTTTGCCGGCGCCCGGCGGGGGCGGGGGGGCAGCGGAGCGTCAGCGGAGCGGAAAGTACTGGAGGAGCGGTGCACTCCGATTACGCGCGTGCGCGCTGCTGCGCGCAGCCGCGTCGCCGCCGCCGCGCCGCGCCGAGGTGGGCACGCAGAGCGATTCCGCGCATCATCCTCTCACGAGCTGAGACGCGCTCGTGGTTAGGCGATCAAAAGCGGCAGAGGCGTTCACAGCGTGAAGACTGAAGAGAATCGCGCTCGAGAGCAGGGTATAGAGTTGGTTTTTTCTGCTTGCTGGTTTTAGTTGGCAACTTGGAGGTGGCGTGCGTTGCGTCTAGCGAACAGCTATGAGTACTTTGTTGCTTCAAGGCTGCGACGCAATGTAAAAACTCTTGATGATGGAGATGTTTTTACAATAGGTGATTAAAACATCATAGAAGTTGATTTCAACTCACATTACGTA